CCCGAGTTCTGTCGACATTTTTTTTTTTCTCGGCTTTAGAGCCACCTATTGCAAAGTGGTTCGAACTGGAAGTACCGTCCGCTAGTCCCTTCCTACCTGTAAAGTGTGCACCTCCCACGATGAGTGGTATCATCTTGACAGCCTTTGACGATCAAAGCCAGTTCCCATTTAGTTACGCCGCCCATACTAAAGTTCCACCTGGTTTCGCCATGCCAACTCTTTTTGGTACAGTAAGTGTTGTGTCAAGTGACAGTCATGTCAAAGTACCTGTGTGCCGAAAATCAGCACCTCGCACAGCGGGTTATTACACAACAGCTGACCGCAAAAGCCCTTGACGGCCAAACCGTGTGTTGGCCGACAACTTTGTTTTCTCGGCTTTGTAACCACCTTTCGTAAAGTGGTTTCAATGGGAAATACAATCTACTAGTCCCTTCCTGCCACTAAAGTCTCCACCTCCCACGACCAGTGGTATTCTCTTGACAGCCTTTTCATGGTCAAAAACGGTTCCCATTGAGTTACGCCGACCAAACCGAATGTTCACCTGGTTTCCCTATGCCCCCTTTTTTTGTACAATAAGTGCTGTGTCATGTTACTGTCAAGTCAAAGCACCTGCGTGCCCAAATCTGCACTTGCACAGCCTGCTATAACACAACAATTCGGGTCCAATATTGGATATCCCGTACAGCTTTATTTCTTTATTCGTTAGAAACCCAACTTTCACACCAGCTGTCTTAATGAAACTTGGCACATTTCGTGCACAAACTTAGTGAACATCTCACTCGCCTCCAAATATTATTGTTCCAGCAGTCCTACGTTTACAGCGACGAGCGAAATAAATTTGCTACTCAGAGCAATTATGGTGGCGGCCGTCCTGCTTTTCGGAAAATTGCTCTAACTCCCTTTTCGGCCGCAACTATATAGAGAAATTACCCCTAAGAAACGACCCAAACTCAATATATAAAAAGTGGAGAACAGCTAGATGCCCTTCTTAGGTTTTCCCCAGGACTCATGCAACGCCACCATCAACGTATCGGCTTAAAAAGCAAAAGTTTCGTCCGTGCGCGCTTCCGCCGCCACAGCTTGGCATACTAAAAGGCGTCGCAGGCTGCTGAGCGCGCCTCACTGTCGAACGCCAGCTCCTCCGCTAGCGGCGCTGCGCGCGTTTTTCAAAGCGCCCCCTATAGTTCCCGCACGGAGTGTATAGGGTGATGAAAACGCGGGAAATTCGAATCGGTACGCACCAGAAATACCTTGAACTTGAGCACACGCATGGAATGCGCCAAAAAAAGGACATCCGGGTGATGTTCGAGGACACATATGTTAAGAAAGCACCACTATTGTCGAAGTAAACAAACACGACGGCACGGGCGTTTCTTCTGCCTTGAGAGTGCCGCCACGAGATCGCCTCACGAGTTGGTGGATCTTCCTTCTAGTACGTGCTGGGTTATCATAACGACACATGACGAAGATTCACAGTCAAGGATAGCGCTTTTACGCGAAACGATGAGCTTCCACCACGCCGTACACATCGACGATCACCACCGACGCCATGTTTGCAGATAGAAGCTGATAAAAGTAGCCCGGCACGACCGGCATGCAACGCGCGCGACCGAGCTCTCCTCGACCTGTGATTGGACTGTCGTTGCGGTCGTTCCCGAAAGTTCAGCCCGGCTCAACTCCTTGCGTTGCGAACGAACACGAACGAAACGACCGTTTGGCGCTTCGTTGCTATGGTAACTCGTCGTTCCAACCGGTTGCATTCGTTCGTAAGCGTTGTGGTCGCTCCGAACGCAACTGTGTGAACGGGCCTTAAGAGCATCACCAAAATGTAAACCAAACTAAAATTTACGGCGGCGCCCAGCGGGATGCGAATTAGCCAAGTCAAGATAAGACGGCAAAAACTACATGGTAACACTGAATCAGCTACTAGCTGTGCATGTAAGCATGTGAACGATCAATATAAAGTGAAAGCCGAGTAATTATTGCGATTTACAATAAACAAGTTTCGTTTTATTCTTTTTGCTCATGCATAGGTGGGAATGTAGTCTTGTTGTAGCTTTCGAGACACATCATGCCTGAAATCTTTGAAACTAAGGGGAATCAAAGAAAAAAAAATATGCTGCTTTATAAAAAACGGTTTGGTCTATCGAGTATTAAAAAGTCACCTTTTATAGCCTGCGCACTTTTATTGTTTTGTGTGTTTCTAACCGCTTATAAAATTGCACGATGGGGTCATTTTCATATAATGACAGATCTGCCATATTAGCAATATTAGCGTCATCGGAATGTTGGCGCACCTTGAGAACACCTTGCACGCCTTTCCAGACTTTTTTTTTTTTTTGTTTCCTTGGATTTGTTGTTTGTCTTTATACACCTTCTGTAGAATACAGGGTGGGCGGGAAGTATTGCGAAGTTAACTAAAGCAATTACATTTTTATAATGCTCATAAGTTGCGTATGAATCGGTACGACCCAAGCGACAAAATTGAATCTTCATATTTCTTCGGCAAAGAGACAAAATGCGCACGCGTCCTCCCACAGTAATGCACACGAGCACCGCAAAAGTAGGCTCGTTTCTGTCGGTTTTAATTTGAAACCCGAAAATAGTGTAGGCACTATAGCACCAGCTCAATCTCTATGGTGTACTTAATTACCTGGATGGCCGACTCCTGTCAATGCCACCTACATAACGCCATGTTTATGCGATCTTTACGCCGCAATACGTCAGCAAACTTCGTTTCACGTCACACCAACAGGCCGCTTGCGCCTACGCTGACACTTTGTGGGGTGTGAGAAGGTGCGTGATCTTGCATAATCTAGATGACTCCACCTCCGTCCGTGTGACCGTAGCCTCAAAACATGACAATTCAACGTAATGGGCGAGCTAGACGCGTGATCTCTGTCTCTCTGCTTCCTCTGGTGTACAGAGCATGCACTTTTAAATGGAGCACGGGAGCTGTGAGCAAAATATAGCCCCAGCTGTCTAATAAAAATTAAAAAAAAGGAAAGCGAAATACGAGCAAAACACCACAATTTGTTACCGATAAGCACGGCGATGTATCAGAAATTGACGAATGACGTCGCGAGTGACATCGACGGTATACGCGCAGGCACCAGGGCTGGCTTGAGAGAATCAGCGTCTTAGCTGAGACTGCGTGAAAGAAAGCCTGCCAAGCCCGGGACGCGCTAGCCCTTGAGACTCGACTTCGCGTGTCACTCCTCCCGTGCCCCAACTTTAGCAATGTTTTTTTTTTTTTTTTTTTTTCAGTTTTGGTTATTTTTTTGTTTCTGTAGCAAGCCAGCCCAGAACACCTAACCGCTTGCTCTAGTCGCAGGTGGAAAATGTTCACGCAGCACGATTCTTCTTTATATATACGACAGCTAGCGCATGGAGAATTGAACCAATTAATGCTTATATGTAGGGTTCCGCGTTTTCGGTTTCTATTATTTAAAAATTCGGCGTACTTTTTTCGGTGTTTATTTTAAAAATCAATTTTCGGTGTTTTTCGGTGTATATTTATGCCCAAAAAAGTTTATCGGCTTTTTTTCGGTGAATTAAAATAAACACTAACGGACACCGGATCAGACGATCCTTTTAGCTTTGATATTTGTGATCATTTAAAGAATAACTGCACAGATACATTGAAAAAGAAATTGACACTTTATTTGGCAAATGTTTACAACTGTAAAAGAAACAACAAAAAAATACGGAAGTACAAACAAGTCAGATATGAACCCTATGCCCCAAAAACATGGAACTTTACCTTCTGTACATCGGGATTACGTGATGTTATTATAGTACACACACATGTACCCTACCCAGGATTTCATTGTTGATCCGCACTTTTGTTTTTCTTTTTTTTTTTTTTTTTTTGTAAATATGATTCTTAGCTTTGAGAATGACTCTTAGCGTTGAGAAGCTTTGAGCTTCTCAACGCTAATACTGGACACTGGCGGGCTGAGGAGATGAAGCGCTGCTTGAGCGAAAATCGGCCATTTAACCAGTTGTGACCGCCAAAAGAGACACGGTGCGACGTTTTGAAGCACAACACAACATGCAGAGCGTGCGTCCAGTCTTCCTTACAACGAGTTTGAAAACTGGCTCGTACATGGCGAAGTCATGGGGCATTTCGGACTTTAAGTTCCGATCGATGATGCGCACATTAAACCATAACGTCATGATTGCATCCCTGTATCCCATACATTCGGACACGTTTCGGTCGACACTGTCGTTCCACTTTTTCGCCACGGTGCTGCGGTACGACTGGAAGGTCAAAGTGACCCTTTCCGGCTAAATCTGAATTTTAGAAAATAAATTCGACGTACTTTTATCAGTTTTTATTGGTTTAAGTCGAAAATGGCGAACCTACAAACTGACCTTTTTCGGTTAAAACCGAATTTCTGAAAATGGATTCGGCGTAATCCACTTTTATCGGTTTTTATCGGTTTAAACCGAAAACTTCGAACCCTACTTATATGTAATGGACACCAAAGTCTGATTATTTGAAAGAGTGGTTCAGTTACGCCGGCGCAATACCCTTCACAGTCGAGCAGCGCGACTCCAGACATTGCTTCCACAACACACGCGAATCGCTGAAGAAAGTTAGCTGGGCGGGCCGCGTGTTAGACTGGCTGCTTTCATGGCGCAGTGCGGCTGAAAATGACGGCAGCAGATGGGACCAAAATGAAATGAAGGGTGGAAGCGCCGTTCTACAGAGATGAAATACGGTGCAAAAAGGAGAGTAAAAAATAGTATGTGCTCTTCGGCACATAAGTCGCTGATAAAGCAGTTGCCAAACATTCTTTGACTGGCATACAGTGCGTCAAGCAGCAGTTTACACCTATTTAAAAGAATACCTACACGTAAACGTGGAAAAGATGCACACAGTGTGACCTCACAAAATAAAAATAACCTTACAAGGTCACACCCAAGCAATAACCGTGCAATATCGTACCCCTGCATACGACTGTAGTCCAAAGAATCCATACGCAAGCACTCACCTTCCACGATCAAATTTTGCGGCGCCTCGACTTTGCCGACGAAACCAAATGCGGTATCTGGAATCCCCGAAGACGTTGACTGCGTCTAGAGATGGCGTTCGGTGAATCCGTGCGGTTGTCCACCGTCAGCGAAACAGCGCGCGTCACTAGGTGCCAAACAACCGGCATACGACGGTATCAAACAGTATCACCGCTGCTTACACAGGGCAGCACAGGCAGCGCACCTACGTCGCGACGTCACCAACGTGTATTGCGTGCCCCCGAGGCAAAAAACGCGTGACGCGCCAGCGAGTCGGTGCTTCTACGCGTGCGCCGAGAGAGGGCTGCTGCTATCAGGACGCAGCGACGGCAATGAGTTCATCGCCCACGTGTTCTCCCGCAGTCATGGCAGCCAAGGTCGACCGTGCGGCGAATCTGCTCGTACGCTAGCTCGGCGCCTCAGCAGGTGTCTGGCAGAATCGAAACCACGCTCGAACGCTGCTTCCGCCGCCGTTACGTGAACTATGATCACAGAAAGCCTAAGAAACGCCGGGCGTAACCAGTCCCAAGTCTTTCTTTTTTCTTTTTTTTTTTTATTGTCGCTTTCTGCAAATACTATCGCGTAATTAGTCAATAGGGACGCCGAAAGACGAATAGCGAAGCAAGGATCGTGTACATGTTAAAGAGAAGCTATATAGGTCCTTGATTTCGAACAGACAGTAAGGTTGTAATGTAGACACCTTAAAATGTATTAATTATTTTGATCTTATTAGTAGGAGCGTTGCAATAGGCCATGAAAATTTTGACAGAGACGCGCCTGTTGCGGCACGCCCACGGCAAGGAAGCGCAAGAGCGGAGGGAAAGACTGGCAAAAGTGACGTCATCAGCAGGGTCAGATGAGCCTTGCTCGCCACTAAGCTGACTCTGGGGTGCCGTCAATGACGTCCCGACGCTCTGGACAGAAAAAAAGGCGGCAGAGAGGACCGCCACATGCCCGGCGGCAATCGCTGCATGCAAGCATTTTTAAAACTAAATGCGGTTTGCGTTTAGTTTTAAGACAAGTGCGATAATTGAATTCGCAGGACAAAAGGCTATATAGAAGTCCGCTCCCTTGGTATAGTCATCTTACAGTGACTATACCAATCGGAAAATAATAAAATAAGGATGAAAGCAGTGTTTTACACGTTCCTCGTTCCTTTCGAATTTTTGGAACTCGTTCCTGTTACAACTTCCATCTGTGACAAAGAATCTCGTTCTCGTTTCAGTTAAAACAATAGAACGTACCGTTACACATACGGTGTTTTTTGTATTTGCTGATTACCATATTTAATCAGATCAATCGAAGTTTTTATATGTATAAAGTATGTGCAGTATATCCCGTCAAATGGCAACATACAAATTTGAATGCCGTGATAAAAGGGCGCCTGGGTAAGTAAACAAACGGAAGCAAGGTTCCATTTGTTGATATATTCACCTCTAAAATTTCAGCGTTTTGCAACAGTCATGTTTATGGAGGACGATTCAGACAAGCCAAATGTATACTCTGAGCCGGGAAGGAGGAGCGCGGCACATTGCGCAAGAGTTTTACAACAACCTCACACGCTTCAATCTAACAAAGTTCCGTGTTCGAATTTAAAAACAGTTGCTTCTCGATTTTGCTCCCCGCAAAACGAACCCGTTTGTTAGGTCCCAGGACCTTCGGGGAAACTGTGTTCTGTACATGTATTCTTGTATGTTTTTTTTTTTTTTTTTTTTTTTTTTTTTTTTTTGTGACGGGCTCAAAAGAAAACAGGGGGCCCGCAATGTTTACGAGTCCCGGACGCGACGCCATCAGGACTCCGAGAGGTCTCGCGTAGGTCCCAAGATCTGTAAGCCAGTTCGTAACTATATATGTAAATAAATCATATATATATATATATATATATATGTATATATATTCGTGACCTTCATCTGGCTGTCCCTCTGCCACTACATCTCCGTTGGCCAAGGCGGAATTGGGGGTTGCCATCATCACATCGGCGGCAACCCAACAAAGAACATCAACCTCTCTCAACGACACCAGAAGAGAGAGAGAGAGGAGAGAAAATTAACTCCATTCTTTTCTTTTTTTTTTCTTCTTTTTTTTTCTTTTTTTTCAGAATTTTCTTGGCAACGCTAAACAACCTTTACACCGAGTGTAAAGGTTGTGTTCAACCTTTACACTCGTGTTCAAGGAAATGGCGGTGTTCAAGGAAAGGAACCACTCGAAGCTCTTCATCAGCGACAGCGAAGTACACTCAGGGGCGGATGCAAGAATTTTCTGAGGGGGGGGGGGGGGGGGGGGGCGGGAAGGGGATCAGGTGTTGGTCAGTGTACTATAGACCAACACGCGGCCCTGACGTCACGCGGCTGCGGTGGCGCTGTCGACGGCACGGCGCGTGCGCACACGCTTCACTCCTTCGGAATTTGGTTTCTGCGCATGCGCAGTGCCCACACCTGGTGTGGGCAAACGCGGGCTTGTTTGTAAACAGCGTGTCGGTCTATATGTTTAGGAACAGCTCCCCTCTCCCTCGTTTCGCGCCCTAAATTTTACACATGCAGAAATCAAGAGGGGGGTCAGGACATCCGGACCCCCCCTCTAAATCCGCCCCTGATGTACACTGCGCGAAACAGACAGCACCAACAAGACGTCGTCGAGCTTTCCAATATATCCAGATTCATTATTTATTACTTTCTCTCTCCCTCTCTCTCTATTTCTTCCTCTTTTTCTTTCTTTCCCTATTTCTTTTTATTTATCTTTCTCTTTTCAAGTTTAATATATATTACCTTACTAGTACAAAGGCCACTAGAAAAGCTGTGAGATGTGGCGAACATGAAAAGGTGGAAGTTGAAAACAAGTGCAGGTTGAAGACGCGCGTGTAACATTTTCGATGCTCTCCGAAATTGAACCAAGTGACGTAAGGTAATGCGGCCGAATCAGATTTCGTATTTAATTATCTAATGGCTCCAGAGAAAGCAAACTGAATTTAAAAAATCATTTCGTGCGTGTAAATAAACACTTGTGACGATGAGCCATGTTGAACGCGAAATAAATGCATTCAAATGTCCGATGACACAGCCCTTTAAAAACAATGGTCTGTCAAAAGCACGGCGGAGGATTAGGATAATAGCATTTTAAAATCAACGCCGTTGCATTTGATAGTCTGATATCGTTCTTATTGCCGCCGGTAAAGCGGAATTTACTGCAAAACGTTCCTGTCGTTCCTTTTATATCTCTCGGCGATCCAAGTGTATAGCCCGACGGGGCTAGGTCAGAACCAGCCGAGTGGCGTTTTCTGCTTTCGGGCGGATTTCACCGCCAGGCAGTTGTCCCCCCACCGAAAAGATAAAATCATTTTACTGTTTTTTTTTTTATATGATTATTGGACACGTAGGCTACCACACGCCTCGGTGAGGTCGGCTTTCAAAGATTAGCCAAGTTGGGATTGATGCTTTCATCAACGGAAATAAGAGTAATGTCAGGTATAGTCAGTATTGATGGGGTCAAGAACGCGATGACTCCAAGCTTCCATTGTCCACAATCAAACTTGTCACCGTCGATTCAAACGCGCACCATCAAATCTGTCTTTTACAACTGGTCAGTCTTACCTTGACGTCAAGGGTAGGAATTATAAAAAGTCACGGAACGCTTTTGCACTCTACGGGCCCGAGCACGAGCCTCTCGCTTGAAAGACTGTCATGGTAGTTCGTGAGCTCATGGAACGCGAACCAGAACCTCTATAATCGGTGACAGGTTAAAGGCCACGGTCCCACTGAATGTGGCAGTTTAGGTACTTTTTGGCAGGTCATTACTCATCTCATTATAAATACTGTTTTGTGGGATTGATGTCATTCGAAAGGTAATGCAATCCTCTTTCATTTGATATTATGCATGTGTTGGATTTTACTGTTCATGCGCGTTTGTAGCGTTGCGAATATGACGGCGCGGACCCTCACTTGCTCCGCTAGTTCATGTTTTATGAACGATCCATTAAAAATAGCACGGTTCCAATATAGCAGTTTTGTTAAGATGATGTCGGAGCAAAATGTAACGATACACTTTTTTGGTATTTGCACTACTTTGTTTTTTTCATCCCTCCAAATATTGCCCTAAAATTGACATTTTTCAGCACAAATATGTTTTTATTGACAAGCGCTAGAGCAATGAAATTAGCTACAGATATAGTGCTTATAATTGGTAATATGCAAAAAAAAATTTAATGTTGTGTAAAAATTTTTTGTTTAGATATTTTATATCAAACGTAGCACTTTTTTGTGCTTTGAGTCATCGTAGTTCAAATGCCGCTGAGGAAATATTTAAACTATGATAAAATATTTTATAACATTTAGAGCTACAATGGTTGCCCAAAAGGTGGACGATGGCTTTTTTTCATTTTCAAAGTTATAACGCTCCAGGAGCCCTTCAAACTTACCTGTTTTTGACGCATATCTTTTTGGACATCAAATAGATTTAATAGCATCTAATAACATTTATTGTTTGGAATAGACATACATTGCGATGTATTAAATTTTCACAATGATCTTGCTTTGGTTTCAGAATAGGTGTAGAGCTTAGCTAATTTTAAAAACAATTAAAACTGTTTGGGTGTTTTGTTGCGCTACCTGGCGGATGGCAGACAAAGTGCTGATTTCTAGTGTTCGAAAAATGTCTGAGGGCGGCGTTGGCGTCTGTATCATCATCAATCGCCGTGTCTTTTTACCTTCACATTTAAAAAATATATTGGAAGATTTACTATCGATAAATGAATGGTTTACGTACTGGGTCAGGTTAATAAATCTAAGACAAATAATTACACACGCGTAGCGTGATATAATGTGTTAATTATTCGATCTGATTAAATCAATAAACAATAAAGACGAAGAGGATAATAATACACCCGAGTTCACTTCATGCCTAGAGTCACTGAATGAGCTTTAAAGTATCGGCACTCCGTTCTCCAAAATTGTTTTGGGCGCCACCATTTTGGGTCCTGTTCAGTGCAAACGCAACTGCCGATCGTCATGATCCAAAAGCACGACTTCCTCAGCATTAGATGCGGTGCTAGGAAGCTGATGCAATATTGCAATGCTCTGTCGCGAGTAGTTTAGACATTTGGGGGGGACGCAAAAGCGTTTCCTGTGATTTTAAATAAAGCTTCAGGTAACTGGCAACCATGATTTTAAGCCAGAATATGGCCAAGTGTCGTTACTCTGAACCGTAGCTAATTTACTGGCACAAGCGGGAACAATGAAGAAGAGGCAGGTGTCAAAAGGTAGTGGCTTGTGGAATCCACGGGGCTTACGTCTTGGCCCCTCCAGGTATTAGAAGCCTCTTGAACAAGAGCATGAATAGTGTCATTAAATAAGCTACGCGTCAGAGTAGCGACACTTGGCCATATTGTGGCTTAAAATCATGGTTGCCAGTTATTTGAAGCTTTATCTGAAATCACAAGAAAC